CTGTGATTCTGTGATTCTGTGATTCAAGCTAGCAACAAAAGTGCTACCGTACTGCGCCACAGAGGACAGCAGATGGACCAGGACATACCGACATAGCCAAGCTGCTGCCAAAAAGCAGATGTAATTTTGTTCTCTTTCCTAAGGGTAGGGATTGTGGCAGTCAACCCTCCCTTCTCTGCTGCTCTCCTTCTTCAAGCTACATCTCCATGGGACAGCACAAGCAGAGGCAGGCGGATGGGTACAAACTGCAGGTCTGGTTATCACTGATGGGCCCCACTTGTGCGATGGAGAGGTACCACAATGCACAACCCTCCTGGCCCACCTCATCAGCTAGCACAGCACCTCCTGCCCTAAACCGTTCAAGGAGGAGAAGACTTCACCTGGAGGCATCAGGCTTCACAGATTAGACTCCCAGAACAGATGCTTTTCAGTTTGGCCTTAAACCTGATTCAAAAGACGCTGATGCTTCAAGTCGACAGAAGCTGCAGCAGCCCAGCCCTTTACAAGTCATGCTGCATTTGCCCACCCAAAGGACAAATGAGGCAATCAGGCTCTGGTGCCTCTCCACCGAGTTTCAGCAGTATGGGTCCATCTTCAGTTCAGTCTTCTCCAGGCAGCCAGTCATACAGACAGGACATAACACAGCCAGTTTTCTGGGTCTCCACCAACTCTGCTGCTAGTAAATACCAGAACATGTGACACACACACACAAGGACTGGCCTCACTGCTGACAGCTCTGAAGAGCATGGAGAAGCAACATAACCAAGTGATTTCCAAATAGCCGTTTCTAGTTTTCAGAAAGCTTTTAAGTCTCCCTGCAAGGCTAGCAGTATGGCAATTTTCTGACTGCTGTGAGGTGACTTAAGACACTGCATATGTGAACAGAAGGCCCTGGAATGCCTTTAAGGAAGTAATTAATTTTGATTTTGGATGACTCTGTACTTCTAGCATCTCACCACCACTGTTTACAACTGATGCTGTTGCATAAGCAGCATCTCAGCTGCCATCCTTTTCAGGTTAAGCTTAAACTGTTCAAGATACAGGTTATGTCAAAATTAAAATGATCCAGTCAATCTGAGCAGTATTAAATACAGAAATACATTAGCTGCATATGCAACTGAACACACCCAAACTGTGCCTTTTTCCTTTCCTAAGCTCAGCTTTTTCTCTAGTAACGTGTCATGGGCCTGTTCGCAGAGGGACTTGAACCTCCTACCACAGAAATCCATGACTGAACGCTTTCAAAAACCATGTGCTAAAAATACCTTTAACATATCCCAAACCCTAAGCCCATTGCCTCCACACAAGGATTTGTGACACAACACACAAGGAAGACCATCAGATCAACTCTGCTGTCAAGTTCCACTATAAACCTAACCTGCTGCAACAAACCTCTGCCTCCTGTTTTAATTACCCAGGCCCATGAGCTCCTGCCACACAGATCTCTTGGGAGCCTTCAGCAGACATCCAAAATACCACATGAAGAACAGGAAAAACCCGAGCAGTAAGCAAGATTATTCTCTTCTGAATATTATCACCAAAAGGAAGGAGAGTGCTAAAAAGCCCCTCTGAGCAGAGCACTAATTCTGCTACCATGTCTCAAAACATCCAGCCTCTAAAGCTGAGTGCAGCATAGGAGACAAAATAAACCTAGCAGTTAAGGACTGAAGATAACCGAGGTATCAAGCCATATATGGAAACACGCATCAACCATCACTGAAAGGCAGCAACCTCACTTGCTATTTTAAGGACTTCTGTTTTCACAATACTCTCCAAAAACAAGGAGATGTACCACTTTCTGGAGTGTCTGGGGTGATGTTTGACAGTTCTGCAAACATTAAAGAGTCACTATAAAAAGCTGCTATTATTCAGAGATACTCAATCAGATTTCAAAATAGGAAAAGGACTTTTATCACATTATTTCCTTCACTTAATAAAATTTCCCCCTCTGGCATAAGTGGGACCACCATGCTTGTTAGAGCAAGGGAGCATTTAACAGTAGTGATTGTTTTTAGTTTTAAAGCCCCAAAACATCTGCTTAGCTTAAAAACGGGTGCTGGCTCAGCTGGGAGGGGTTAACCACGATACAGCACTTCAGGTTCTTGGTTTAGGGTTTTATTATTACGCATACGTTAATCTTGCAGGTAGGAATTGCCGATAAAAGAAGGAAAAAGCTGTACATATATTTTTCAGTAATATTTACCAGTCATGCTGCTGTCTCTGTTTATTCCGTTATGAAGTTTACAGTGAACAAATGCTGCATCAAACAACCACGATCCAAAGAGATTCAAGATGCTGTTAACCTTTGGCCTGTGAGGAGCTGGCAGGGGCCGTGGCTCAGAACTCGTCTGGTTTGGACTAGAGAGTGGAGAAGTAGAGGAGGGTTGGTGCTGCACTTTTGAAGTGTGTGCAGTAGTTACCTATTTGAACAACAGAACAGATCAGCTCCTAGAAGCAAGGAAATTACTTCCTCAAACTGAGGAAACTATCAAAAGGGTCAGCTCCTTAAATACAGAATATGAAATCTTACAGTGCTGGTTTTCATGGTTGCTTTGTTCACAGTTACTGCCCGATGCCGCCGGTTATGGGGCGGAGTGGTGTTGATTGCAGTGTTCTGGGTCATGCTCAGCCTGTTCACTGGGGTGGGCGGCGTGCTATCCGACCGGGGTCGTGAAATGCCTGTAGGTGAAGAAATAAAGCAAGTTTTCAACAAGAATCCCACAGGCTCACCACAGCACCCGGTCAGGAAGCACCTGAGCCTTCTGCAAATACACCGGTGTTCCTCCCTGCCCCCCAAAACAGCAGTAATGAGAAAAACATCTTTCGTCTTTCACTATTAGCAGAAATAAATGCACAAGCAAAAGAAAACCCTACTTGTGTTAGTAAAAAACAACAAAGAACCCCACACCTTAAGAGTACGGAAAATTGGTCACAGGAGGACATAGCCTAGAAGCAGGCAGAGGGAAAGGGTCAAGGCTCATTTGCCAAAGCCAACCTAACACCATGCTCCAGCCAGAATTCAGCTGCCTCTCACCCTTCCTTTCTTTCTCAACCATACCTGCCACAGCCCGTTTCGAGACATCTCCAAGACGTTTGACCCTTTAAAGCCAACATAGCTTACTAAATTAAGATTAACCCATCCACAGTGCTGTTTTCTGCTGGTTTTGTGAGCTGGATCAACTTGCTGAACAGTCAATTGCTAGGTCAGTACAGGAAGAAGCTAGTTTTTCTGGCAGCAGCAGGACATTAGATCAGTCTTTACCAGCTTCAGAGCAATACTCATGGTGCATAAAGCTACTCCTCCCAGTCAGCACCAGGAGCAAGCAGTCCTGCAAAACTTGAAGTGACAAACACCGCTTCTTCTCATTTTAATAGCACCACCCTCACCCTGGGTGTGCTGGGAGGTATCCAGAGAAGGGCAGCAAAGCCGTTGAAGGGTTTGGAGCACAAGTCTTATGAGAAGCAGCTGAAGGAGCTGGGGTTGTTTAGTCTGTCGGAGACTGAGGGGAGACCTTACTGCCCTCTACAGCTTCCTGAAAGGAGAGGGTAGCAAGGTTGGAGCCAGTCTCTTCTCCCTCATAGCCAGTGATAAGACAAGGGGTAATGGCCTCAAGTTGCACCAGGGGAGGTTTAGGTTGGATACTAGGAGGAATTTCTTTACTGTGAGGATTGTCAAGCACTGGAACAGGCCGCTCAGGGAGGTGGCTGAGTCACCATCCCTGGAGCTGTTTAAAAGATGAGTGGATGTCGTGCTTAGGGACATGGTCCAGTACAAAGACCTGAAGATGACAGCCAAAATTCAGTGCCTTGCACACAGCTGCTTCCAGAAAGTTCATAAACGAGGCGGTCAGTGCTCACAACACGCTAAAAGCGGAATGCTTGCATTGCTGATTAGACATGAAGAGAAATAAACCTTGTTTGGGGAAGAGACGGCTGGTTTTATTTTAGACTTCAGGTTTAATTGTTTCACATTTGAAACTAAGACCATCTACGGCTTTGTGCATTCAAGCATTACTACTGTGTATACAGAAGGCCATTTAAAAGGGATCTGAGGTCCCTTCCCTATCAATTCCAGAATACACTTCCAAATGATAAGTCGTTATGGCTGTATTTATGGAGAAGACAGATTTAAAGAGAATTAAATAATGATTAAGGTACTATTTCCTAGCTACCCACAGGTAAGAAAAGAGCATTACCTAGGAATGCATCCACTAAACAGCTGATCCCACGCATGGCACGAAAGAATATTTGAGGCAGATGTTTAAGGCAGGGGTACTGATTCAGTTCTTGAGTCATCCCACTCACATTCAGAAACTGCTCCTGAAATTTGGGGGTAGAGCTAATAATGGCTGGGGTACTCAAATCCACAGGATTACTGCACACAAGAAGAGCAAAAGACATTTCAGTCAGTTTAAGAACAGCTGATGAGATTTTAAAAACACTTAAAGATGCAACAGTTTAATGTATTTAAATAACAGCGACACAAAACAGCATCCAATATCAATATACTTTTAGCTGCATCACAGGAAGTCAATTTTCACTTCCTGGGTTGTCAGTGTTTAATTGTCTTTATTTCAGACATTACCCAAATGGACTGAATAATTCTACTGAGATCCAATGAACCAAAGCGTACATTCGCTATAACAACCCCTCCCTTGAAGCAATATTAATAACCTGAGCTCTTTTGAGCTCAGTTTAAGAGGTCCTTGCATTGTTAGAATTATTCTCAAAAAGGTAAGCAATGAATTAAGCATTGCCAGGAAACAGTGAGAAGAAAGGGAGCAGGTTCTGAAAGTTTGAACAATTTCTCCTGATCTAAATTCTGTCACAGAAATTACAGATCTGAAGAGTACAGTACTTGTGACATCGCAAATGAAGAAAGATCTGTAGCTAGTTAGAAAGTAGATTGTTAAACAGTAACTTTTATCTATCTTATATTAGCAATTAATGTTTTATATGAGAAGTTTCATATTCTAGCCATTCAGAACATTAATGCAATGCCATTCCCACAAACCTTTAAAACCAAGCACACCACCTGGTTCTGTTGCATTGTTAGAGAAGGGTAACATAGGTGTTAAAATCAATTAAATAGCTTTCTTCATAAAAACAAAGATAAACTTCAAAAGATTAGTTTTTAAAATGAGTGTAACAGCCTGGACAATAAACGGAAGCAATGTACATCTCAGAGCTGTTCTGCTTTTCCTGTTTGCCATCTCAGAAACACAAGATTGCACTGAAGTCTTGTTTTTCAGACCCTCCAAAATGCCAAACAGCTCTAAACCTTTTAATTAAATGAACCAGCTCACATTCTGAAAGAGTCACAGAGTTCACAGTTGAACCACGCACTCACAGCCTTGCCCTGGACTGTTGCAGGACACTGGTGCAACTCTCACACTTTATTCTATTTAGATGCTTAATCTCAGTAATCTCCAAATAAATTTTTCTTAATTTGTCATGCAAATTTACAGAAATTATGCAAGAACACAAACAATAGGTGGCTGCAATTACAATACCTCAGCATATGTAAAAAGCGAAACCAAGTTTGTGCAACGCACTCATTGTCCATCTCGGGAGGAATCAGACCAGCATCTTCATCAGGAATTTTAAATGGAGGAAATGAAGGTCCATAGGTAAAACGCAGCAATCTAGAAAGCGAGTCAGAGAGATCTGTCATTCAGTCAATACTCCCCACACCCTTAGCAGTTCATTTGAGCCCCAAAAGAATCAGCAGTCCACAGGCGAGTCCACAGGCAAGTCCACAAGCAGCAACACAACATCTCAGGTTTTCCTAGAGAGCCCCGCTTCGCACAACTATTTTGCCCTCTTCAAGCTTTGAAGGGTTCATGCCTGGGAGCTGTGGCAGATGCACCCACCCTACTGAAGACCTGAGAAAAACCCAACAAAAGCAGTGCTAAAGTTTCTGGCCCTGGAGGCGCCAGGACTGCCTCCCCCTCACAGCTCATGTCTGGTCCACACAGTGGGGGTCAAAGGCAGGAAAGTTGGGGTCCTCAGCCAGTAGGGGGTGACACGACCATGTATTGACCACAGATCAGATTCGACCAGGGTATAAATGGGGCCCCGCCGGAGGACTCATTTGAGTCGGTCCTCCTCGGAGCAGCGGGTCTGCAGTCGGGGACTCTCCCCTTGAGTTGGGACGCCACTTAAGGAAACTTCTCGAGATTGAGAGCCCTCCCTTTTTGGTGAGTGAGTGAGTGCACATTTTGGATCGTTTGGCCAAAAACTTAAGAATTCTTAACTTAGCTGTGTCTGGTAATATTCCCAACCAGCATATCGAACCTGTATTTGTTGAATGTCAGTGGGATGTTGTTTTAGTGAATGAAGTTTTGTCTGCTTCATTTCAATTACAGATTAAAGCTTCTTTGAGTTCATTAATTGTGTGCGTGTAGCCATTTTGGTGCGATTCCATGACAGGAGCCTGCCCAAAGCTTCTACCAAATCCAAGTGCTGTCACTGCCATGGCAGCTCCCTCATCTGATCAGCCAGGGGGTTATCAGTTAACACAGGCACAGACTTGGAATCCCAGTCTATCACATTAAGTAACTTGGAGAGAAAAGCAAATGAGCTTTAAGACACAAGGCATTCTTCAGGTCCAAACTAGAAACACTCACCACCACAGGCAGCAACTGCTTTTCAGTATGCCCCAGCATCCCTGGACATTCAGTGCCCCAGAGGCATCACCCCACAGCAGGATTTTGCTGAGGAATTCCCCAGCTCTGGCAAACCCCGAGGAGCCTGGGCACACCCCATGCAAAGTCACAACCCACATCTCAAGGTTGCAGGAGACTGCACTGCTCCACAATTCTGTTAGGAGCTGCAAGAAATCAGGTTTTCAAGGAGCATGGCCAAATCTTAAGTGATACTTGGGACACTTTCAAGAATGACTTAAAACAGAAATAAATTGTAATCCACACATCCAATTAAATTGAAATAGATTCGGGGCACTTTAGACTAGCAACGTTAATATCTACTGGTATGGCAGCTCAAGGAAGACCCCTCTGCTATAAAGTCACAGCTATGGACACAGATTAACACTGCATATGTGCACAGATTTCCAAATATAATTTTCCATATAGTTCTGAGATGTTTACTCTCAGTTTACTGCTAATAACTCAATTCAGAAAACCATTTACTAAAACAACACTTTAACTGTTTGAAGCTGGAGCTTCACTGAAGTCTTAGAAGTGTAGCTTAAAATATCACTGAACTTAAAGATAGCCTCAGACGAGTTTGGCTTTCTGCGTATTGGGCACAAAACAACATTACTGAACAGCGGATTAAAACGTTACAAAAAACTTGCAAACCACTATGCATCAACAGAACTAAACTGTTAGTCAACAGAGGAGCACAAAGCGTGGGCACAGTGCATGGAGCAGAACACCAACGCATGTTTTCAGGCAAAGCTGTTCTTTTCAGATCAGTGAATCATAAAATATTTTCTGTTATGCAATGCTACGTCTAATGAGCTAAAAATAGCTAAAGAAATACTGTGGGAAATACGCAGAGCTCGTATTGCAGCTGTATTTCCCCACAGATTGAACGAGTGGCTGCATAACCTGGAAAAAAAAAAATCTAGCCACACTTGGAATTTTGACAGGGTCAAAAGCAAGCGATGTCAGAGTTAAAATAAACTCTTGCAAAAAGCATACTATTGAATTTCTCTCAGTGCAGCAACTACAATACATCTTTGAACTTTCACAGAAATGGTTATTGATCTCTCAAGAGAGCTGGGAGGAGACCCAGAACCTTGCTCCTCACCAGTTAATTTAGTTCCTTCCTTCAGGAGACTGAGATTTGTCCGGCAAAGACTTCATATCACAAAGATTCCAATATGAAGGGTACTGAGACTCCCTTCACTGCTCAGGGCCTTTACTACAGCCTCACTGCTCCCACACCCAGCAAGGCCTGGCATAGCTCAGGAGGAGAGTGCCGCTTCTCCGAGGAGAGCCTGCAGCCTGTCCCAGCCCACCGCAGCCCGGCTGCGCGCACAGAGCACAGCATCAGCTCTGCAGGGCAAGAAGGGAAGAATGCCGGAGTCACCTCAAACACAGCAACAAGCAGGAGTAACAAGCACCTAATAATTTTGGTGGTGACTGCCATTAAAGCATACCCACTATAATACTACACTAATAGTCATGACTCATTCTTCACGAGACACAATGAAGAGTCGCAGTGATGGAGACACCACCGCAAAGTGCTAAATACCAGAGAGATCTTGAGATCACACAATTAGCAGAGACTACCAAATTCAGATCTTCACTTGCAGAACGAAGACGTGCACACAAACAGTAAAAGCCAGAGATGCTAGCAAGACCTCTCACTGTTCTGCTCATTCACTTTTGGATTGCTGTGCATTCCACAAATAAACAGCTCCACAGAAAAATGTGAATAACCACCATCATCTCTGTACACGTGTTTACTTCTGTGGGATCTCTCCTACCTGGAAGTAAGGGCACAGATGACCTTGCTCCACTGCTCAACCACCGCAGGGTGATGTCGCCAGTTGGCCACCATCTCTTTGGCTGTTTTCCAGTATGGTGGTGTTGGAAAGCACCGCATACAAGCCAGTAACCACACCTCAAACAGCACACCAATTAACTTCTCAGCCAGATTCTCAGCAATGCCACCTTATAACAGAAACAAAACAAGCTTTTAGTGAGTAGTCAATCTAAATAACTTCAAGTACCTCCCCAAAGAGATTTCCATTTAAGTGTGTAAAGATTTTTTAAGTTGGTTTTTTCCCCCCCATCATTTTGCATTTAAAAGTGATTCCCAATTGCTTTCTACAGACAGTTAAGCTTTTTACAAGACCAACATTATACATAAAGCCCACATATGACTCTCACTAAGGGACACTGGGAATTCACTGATCTTAGGTTGTCTTGTGTTGCACTATCTATGCCAATTTTTTTTTAAAAATAGGTATAAACAACCAGTATTATTTTCCAGTAGGCAGACCAAACAGCAAGACACATAGGGGTTTCTGTGAAACAAACAAGGACCACCACCTGAAACCATTCGCCACGTACAGTTCCTGTACAGAGGCACTGTTCTGCAAGAATACTTTTAGGAAAACTCAGCTCCAAATCATCCAGTCTTTTCTGACAACCCTTTATTTGAGAGTGTAGCAGAATTAGGAGTGACCTATTGTGCTTTGGTGGCTACTAAAAGCTTTTAACAGGTTTCCTCCCATTCCTCTGGCAGCTCAACATCAAGCAGAGCCAGGTTTTTCCAGTAATTGAATCAAATGGAAGCTGAATATAAACCTTGCACAGTTGGAGCTGCTAGAAGAGTGTCATTGATCTGGAGAAGAAATAATAACAAAACTTCCCAGGTTTCTCTTGCCATAATTGTTGATTCACGAGCCAGTTTCTGGACAGCTTTCAAAACCTGTAAGCATAATCTAATCTGGCTAGATCCTGGGTCTGGCCTGCAAGAGAAGAAAACAATACTTGAGTCTCTAAACAAGAGCTATAAAGTGATGCATACAATAATCTGGACTTAGAGCAACTACAAGAGGAAGCATCCATTTTATTGAACAAGAGCCAAGAACATGAGTCAATATGCTTCTACGCATCCTAGCTCTGCTTTAATGAGTACAAGTTGTACCGTAACATTCTTCTCTACATGACACTGAATGCACCACCACAGAGTGAACGTTAACTGGAGCAAGCACAACCCATTATCACAAAGGAATTTACCTTAAACTAAACAATGAGAATGTAGCTGAGACATCACTAATTGCTACATACATAATTCAGAAGGAAAGTGGCAACATTAGGAGAAAATACTGTTAGCAAACTAATTTAAATTCTTCTTAGTTCTCCACTTGCTTCCAAACGTAGATCCAACTCTTACCCTAAATCCTTGGGTTTAGGAAAAAACATCTAGAAGACGGTCATTAAATAGGAAAAACAGACTAAAGGAAGAGGAGATAAGGAAGGAAGGAAGGGAACAAGTTGGCATTATCAAGGTTTTCCCTATAGTAGCAACCAGTCCCACACTGTCATTGCTGAGTCACTCAACATGAAGCATTGCAGAAGCAGCACAAAGCAGCGTGCTCCCTTTCCATCAGTTAGTTTGGACAAGGCAGAATGGGTGCAAAATAGTAATGTGGAATGTTCTGGACAGTAGACAAGGACACTGGCAAACAAAGCAGAGGAAGCCTAAGAGTTTTAAGGGTGAAAGAGGAGATTACAAATTAAAACATGCAACATACACAAGCTAGCTATGTTTCAACTTGTACGCCATTTCCTCATCCATCCTACCAGAGATGATCAAAAAATGATAAAAATTATAAAAATGTTACCTTCCACTGGACTGCTAAGTAGTATTGCTAGACTCCTACCAAACACTTTCCATGTGGTATAACCCATAAGTCCTACTGCATGGTGAGCATCTCAGGAACACGCTGATCCACTAGACAGAGATCTGCTTTTCTCAGAGAAAAACTGCTCACATCAAGATCACTTATTGAGAGACATGATTTAAGAACACTATCAACACTTATCTTCATAGAACAAATGTTGTATTACAGTACTGCAAACAAGATAAAAGAGACAAGATTATATCTGATGCAAAATTGCAGACCACTAGGCACAGTTCAGGACTGCACTGGGTTGCCTGATGCCAGTGTTAGATCCTAAACAGTCTCCATAGAACAAAGCTTGGGATGAGTAGGTCCTGCCTTGGTTATACCACTATTTTTTCCCTAAGCAACAACAGAGCAGACACTTTAATCAAAATATATCCTTAATCTTTACAGGCCTGACGTTTCAAAGTCTGTTTCAAGACTTGTTTCCCTAATAATTTAGGGAATCTATAAAAAGGGGTTTACATGTAGGAGCTCCATAGGCAAGACAACTGATGGGATGCTTCTGAGCTAGTCTGGATAAAGGAAATTCTAAAGTCCCTGTCCATCTATCGGTTCCTCTCATTCACAAAATCAACTGAATGGCAAACTCTGGTTGCAGCATTTTGCAGACTTGTGTAGATTTCTTCAGAGCCTGGCCTTTTGGTTCTCACACTCCTTTGCATCAAGGCTTTGTTATGCTTTCATATGACAAGCAGAACTCCCTACAGAAATATGCCTATTACACTTGGACAGTCACACACTCCATGGTCTCTCAAGCAAGTCCAGACGCTCCAGTCACACAGAAGACCTTGGTATCAACACCCCAACCTCCTGGGAAGGAGGGGCAGGGGGAGAGAGAGTTCTCATACTTTCCTTCTGTGCTTCCAACAAGTTTGTGGCACCAAAACTTTATCTGACAGCAGTAACCACCATTGCTGCGTAAGTAATCTGCAAGGCTTCCTGAATATCATAAGCTTGCTAGAGGCTGAAAGCCTGGGAGCTGCCTGGGGACTGCTCAAATTCATCAAGAAAAGAAGCGTGCGTTTCATAGGGGTGGACAGGAGGTCAGTGCTGGAAGGAAGGATGCAAGCAGTCCCACCCCAAGTCCAGCAGACAAAGGCAACTTGACTCGCTCATCTCTCACTGCTCTGATTTTTCAGCACCTTTCAAGGACTGTGCGTGTAAACATTTAATTCATCTGAGCACTCAAACTGGAACATGTATACACCTGCTTTGTATTTGATGTACACACATTCTCAAGATAATAAGGAGCGGCTGAGGGAACTGGGGTTGTTTAGCCTGGAGAAGAGAAGGCTGAGGGGAGACCTCATCACCACCTACAACTACCTCAAGGGAGGTTGTAGAGAGGTGGGTGCTGGTCTCTTCTCCCAGGTGATGGGGGACAGAAGAAGGGGAAATGGCACCAAGCTGTGCCAAGGGAGGTTCAGGTTAGAGATAAGGAGGAAGTTCTTTACTGAGAGGGTTGTCAGAGGCTGGAACAGGCTGCCCAGGGAGGTGGTGGAGTCACCATCCCTGGATGTACTTAAAGAGCGGGTAGACGAGGTACTTAAGGATATGGTTTAGTGGGTAGACAGGAACGGTTGGACATGATGATCTCAGAGGTCTTCCAACCGAGCAATTCTGTGAAGATGCTATTTAAGTTGAACTGCTCACTTAAGGATGCTGCATTTCACACCTCAACTATACATCCTCCTCTGGGTCTGGGAACCCTCACCACAAATCTGGGCCACCACTTTTAAGGCAGCCAAACCAACAGCTACACCAATTCCAGCAAACCAGGATGAGGAAGGAAGCTATTTTAATCACAGTCCTCCATAGGATATAGACTTATAATAAAGGCTCAAGTATTTTCAACACAAGAACAGGAGATTTTTCCAGGAGACAGTCAATGCAGGTTGCTACAAGAGCTACAGGAGCCCATCAGCACCAGCAACCTGCATCAACTGGGTAAAAGCAGAAATTATTCTCCTCTTCCTCTCCACAGACACGTATGAGCCTGCTGCCACTCCAGCAAGGTGTGCACAACTCGGTCCTGCATTTAATTTCTGTTACAGAATGCTTTCCTGTTGCTGGAGTGAATTCTGAACACAGCTCCCTGGAGGGCAAAACTTAAAAGATCAAGTTCTTTTCTTGAAGGCAAAGCAGGGACTTGAACATCAAGCACTGACAGCAGCAGCCATGAAAAAACAGTGTTTCAGATACATTTCAGAGGCTTTTGAATGAAAAAAAAAAATAGTATAGTTATAAGGAAGGGGAGAGGTGTGTTTAAAATAATTTTCTAGCCCTCCCTGTCTCTGGATGTTATTTCATTCAAAAGCCATCTTGTGCTGTCTACCCCACTGCACCAAGTCCCATCAACAAAGAGAGAAGGGTGCAGTGGCAGCTTGTGCCACGCCATCAGCATGCAAGAAAAAGGACCACTGAACTGCCGGCCAGCAGGGCCACTGGTGTGAAAACCATCAAGGGATCAGAGCAAGAACTATTTAATGGACCAGTGAAGAATTCATTCTCTACTGTACCTCTATTCTACATGCATTCAAGCTTAGAGACAACCTTCCACAGAAGTCTAATCCAGACACATGCTTTCCTCAAATTTGTGACAATCCTTTAATTAGAATGAAAATGTCTTTTTCATTACAAGGTAAGAGCAATGACATCTAAGGTTAGGTGGTAGACTTTGAAGCAATCTGTAAATAGCAATAAACTCCTAGTCTGAATTTGTGTGAGTTATTATTTAAATCCCTTTATTAACAAAGCCTTTGGATAAAGTTAAGTGATCCAAGAGCAGCAGAGCACTTTGAAGGCCACTTGCAATGATACATTATTCATACCCATAGAGCAGATGTTCTGGTACTTACAGACATCCACTAAACACTGATCTGAAGTAATTTTAGGTAGCTAATAATTAAGTGCTGTTTCACAGGGCACCATTAAATAATCTCTTACTTATCCAACAAGTGTGTTCAACAGCAGCAGGTAAGCTTATCAAACTATAAACAAACTACGATGTCTGAGCGCTCTGATAATATAACTTTGCCCAAGACCTAGAAGCACATGTTCCTCAGCATTATCACTGAAGGATGTCTTGTGTAACACCAGGTTATCTGATAGCAAGCATCCTTCCACAGTATTGTTTCAGAACTACCGGTGGAAGATGATCAAGCCCAGTTATGCCTATTTAGCAGGCAGCAAGATGCAGACACAAAGCAGCCACTTACTGCAAGATCCTCCAGGGCATCAGAAATGTGGTCAAGTCTTGAGTAAACAAAGCGTGGGACAGCTATGATGTGCTCTTAGTTACCACAGTTCCACACAATACCAAGCAGTGACGCTGTTTAACCTTTCCCCTGCCCTCCAGTCATCTAACAGAGATGGTTCTTGAAGTTCATGAAACAGTAAACATTGAAGTCTATGAACAATCTGTAATTTTAACTACCTAAACACAGCAGCAACAACTCAATTTGCTACTGAAAATTACAAAACCAGTTTGGAGAGACACCTTCCTCTTAACTTTGCCATGACAGCAGCCATCTTTTAATCAAGAGCCTCCAGGGTTCATCAGGCTTCTGACGGTTGCCTACAGACTACAGCTTAAAACCTCCGAGCCTCATGAGTGTCCCAGCCCTCACACTCACCTTGGAACAAAGAGATTTTGGAGATGTTTGAGAATGCTTTGAACATAAAGGTTTGGTTCCTTAATAACTGGTAAGGGAATGGAGTCCTTCGGTAACACAAGAGCCATAATCCAATCTGTATAAACGTCGACACAGTATTTCACAGTATCGCCATCCAGAGGGAGGGTCAGGCCATAACAAACCACCTCCATAGTCCATTTTACCTATCCAAACAAAGTAAAAGTTATTAAAAATAAATACTAGCAAGTAAACAGTGGTCAGAGCACACTGGTTCTAACTCAACAAAATAACAGTAGTTGTGCCACAGGCAGTTCTCTTTTAATATATACTGCAAGAAAACACCAAGCCATTAATTTGTATATCACGACATTATGATTATAAGTGAATGGCAAATTATTATAAACTCTTTAGTCTGAGCTGTAGAGAGAAAACTCCTTAGAACAAACAAGAGCTGATGTAACATAAGATCTCCAATTTCTAGTAAATATTTGTACCACACAAAGATTTAAAAATAAAAAAGAAGAAAAACTAGCATTGCCCCAAAAATAAAGGTAATTAGAAAGGCTTTGTCCTAATTGTTAAATTCCTTGGCTATTTTGTTGTTGTTGTTTTGGGGGGGTCATTGTTTTTGGTGGTTTTGGGGTGGTTTTTTGCTTTAGTCTGACCTTCCTGGTACAAAGCTCAAACGCTTACTGCTAGGTCATGAAGTACACTGCTGCTATGAACGAGATGTTAATAGAACCCTTATGTAGATTACTAACCTAAAAATATAGCACAGTTAATAAAACTTGGGACTATTAGAGAGAAAAATAAAAGAGGCTATAAAAAAAAAATCTTTCAGTTGCCACTCCAGCACAAAGGAAACTCTGACCTCTAAGGAAATGCACTTACTTCTTTGTCCGTTTTTAGCAAACTCTCACTTCCAACAGACGATGTGATTAAAGCCTGTCCAAGAGGACGCACCACTGCATTTGCCACTTCTCTCCCTACGTTTTCAGGATAGCTGTGAAGTACACTGGTATTACCCTGATCATTTTGAATGACAAGATGCAAGGATCTCCACTCTGAGTACATAGTGCCTCTATGCTACAGTCCAAACAACACCTGGGGGGCGAGAAAGAAAGACACAGTTAGCAGAAATGTTTATGACATGAGTTACCAAAGCTGAGGCTGTTTGCCATGATACAGTCCCTCATAAATTAGAGATGCCCGTGTCTGCATCATAAAATTGAAGACCTGGAAGAAATTCGAACAGCTGGTTTTCAACCTTAGTATGTTGGGTTTGTATGTTTTTAATATAGCTGTGAGCTTGGGTTTTTTTCTTTAAAAAGACACAGTAGGTTTCAGCTGGGGACCAGCAGCCCATTTGAGACATTTAAACTTGAGTGACATCATCTCACACACCTTCCACTTGCACCATCCTTGCAGGAAAGATGCTCTTACAGGACATCTTTGGCTGAACAGAGAACAGTTCTACAAGCAGCAGCTCCAATTCATACCTTGTTCCCTCTTGCAGCACAATAGTAGCTAAAAATACATATCAAGAAAGTTTCTGGAAAATCTTAGTCGCCTCAGAAGACAAAAATTCGGCCTCTTTTCACATTTACAAAGTATTTCTCCTACAGCACGCACTATTCAAAACAGGCGGTGGAAAAATTTGATTGACTGGTGATGAAGAGCACACCTTACCTGCAGTGATTTCAGGACTGACTGGTGGATCACTAACTCAAGCTCAATACCTCTTTACAGTTTCATTACATCACACACCGGTACCAAGCCGCAGGCATTATGGCAGGCCCGAGTGCATTTTGAATCCTTGCAAAGTCCATGCACGCTGTTCATCTAGATTTGTCCCAAAGATTCAGGATAGAAAAGCCACTGAAAATCTCCCAGATAACTCTCTCAGGACTAGACAGGGGAAACAGTCCTCCTTCCAACAGTGCTCCCCATACAACTGTGGTGGTGCATTTTCCCGTATTGCAGACAGAGCCAGCACAGGGAGCCAAGCTGACAGTGAACCTCCCATGTTTTTGCAGTGGTGGGTTTTTGGGTTTGGGGTTTGTTTGGTTTGGGGGTTTTTTTGCATCGATGTGAAACCACAACCAAGAGGGGCAGATCAGCAGCGGAGATGTTAACCTATGCTTCCACAGGTGGAAGCCAGCATTCACCCAGAAGCAGGGCAGGGAATGCCCTCCTGCCCAGAGAGCAGCGGCTGGTGCTGCACCATCACACAGAGCGCGCACATCAAGGGAGCCTGGCTGGAGCAGCCCTGGCAGCAGGAGACACCACCGGATGGGACTGCCACCCCCGGCCATCAGGCAGCACTGGGCAGCTCAAGGAGACCTGCCACGCTGCCAGCGTTGACCTACACATCAACACAGCTGGAAAGCTAAGCCAGTGCAAAGGTTTGTCTGGTGAGACCGTTTTTAGCTGGATCAAGATCTGATCCAGCTCAGGTGAGATGAACATCTGTGCCAACCCAAAGCACCAGTGAGGACACACGGCTGCGAGGGGTGGCAGGAGCAAGCCTTAATACCCACTCACAGCAGTCCTAAAACTGCTGCATGAGCAGGTGGCACCAGGGCAGTCTAAGCCACCAGAACTGCAACGGTGCTACCTCCCTCTTCCCTCCTCTCCCACCAACACCAGCAGTCTTTCATCAGTTATCTGAGCCAGCTGGCCACATGAACAACAAAACAAGGAAAACAGGGCTGGCACAGGAGGAAAGCAAGGAGTGTTCAACAGCCACCGCTTAGATCAGCTCAAGCTGTCACAAATGGCACCCTGGGGACTGCTTGCCAACCACACTTAACTGGCACAGTTTGGAAGCCTGGAATGTTTTGAATGCCTCCCTTAGACATTCCTTGGCTCAAAACCAAACAAGAAGCCAGGCCTGGAAATACACATATACACATAGCAACGAGCCATCATTTAAACAGGTCTGCCTATTTTGCTGACTCCGAGTGTCTGTTTACACCCAAAACCTATGTAAAAACCCTGGTTATTCCCTTCAAGGAAGGAGGGAAGACAAGGCAGCAAGATCTTGGTTTCCCAAACCACATCCTTTCTGGTTTGAGACAGCAATCACATGTGCTCCTCTGACAGCACATTAGCCAGAGCAGCCCAGCCTGCAGGAAGCACATATTCTCCATCCTTCGGGCAGCTTCTCTCCTCTGAGGGCAGTGGCAGCAGGAACAACACACACCACTCCGGTCAAAACCCTTCGGCTTAGAGGGAAAACAACAATTCCAAGACACCAGCTCTTGGGACACGGAGAAGTAACAACAGAAAAACAAACATGAACCACAACCCTTATTGATGGCTTCAGTTACTGCATAACTTCATTACACAGGTTTCCTTACTGCTATCTTCTCCTTTCATATCCTATACCCATAGGGCCTTTTCATCCCACCTTTCTGTCCCACTCTGAACACTGTCTTAGTCTCCAAGCTCGCACCTGGAGTGGAAGAAGGAGGGACAGAAGTGAACTACCATCCGTTTTGCAAGATGTCCTCATCCCCTCAGGCCCACAGCACTGCCTGCACCCCTGCAGCAGTGTGCCCCTTTCCCTGCCCACAGCTCTGCTGCTCACCCCCAGGGAAGGGCAAAGGCGCTCTCCCCATCCTTCCCATGTGACACTCGAGTTCATTACAGGAACACATAGCACCATTTGAGGAACGCTGGTTTAAACAAACTGATTTCAACAGATAAAGCAGCACGTACTTTCCATCGAGCACTCCAGCTGAAGGACTGGCAGCTCACAGCTCATGGCAGGAGCTGATCTGCATGCAGACAACTGCAAGCACACTTACCACGGCTGCCCTCACCCCAGAACAGGGTTCCCAGAAGCATGGAAGTGTTGTGCAGCACAAGCAAATTATAGGCAGTGCCTGTGTACGAACTTTGTCTTCTACATGAGAAAAGTCAGAGAGGATAAAGATACCCAAATCTTGCTGCGTTTTGGAAAACTCTCGTTGCACTAGGGCATGGCAACGGGAGGACACAACCACCTGCCTTCATGCAGCCCCCTGCCACACCAAAGTGAAGATGCAAAGCTGGAAGGGTGACCCTTCCACACTGCTGCAGGGAGCAGCACTTTAACAGACACAGGAGAGATATAACTCACCATGTTTAAGAGAGGTTCAGCAGCAGGACAGGGTAGCCAAAACCTCCAGTGCCACACACACGCAGCCTGCTGCCTGACCTTCATACATAAGTTTAATGATAAAATCTTTCTCTTATTCAAGACTTCCTTTGGTCTTGTCATAAAAGAAATCTTCTGTTAAGTCTTATCAATATACAAGGAACATTGAAACAACTGCTTCAGATGAAAATTACTTCAGAGGTGAGGTTTCCTAGGGTATTGATTTATTCACCCCCTACAGTTAGCATAAGTTTTTATTTGCAAGGACTAGAAGTTACTTTTCATTTAAGACTCCACTTCAACTGTCATTTGAATTGGAAATTGCTGCCATCTGTCAGGATTGGGGTACAGCTAAACCCATCTACTATGCAGCTTCTTATAACTGAAGTTACAAGAGGCTGCTAAGTCTCCACACACAACTGCATCTGTTCCAAGGTCCTCTTTCAACAGATTCAACACACTGACAGTTCTCTAATTTGCTTTAGTCAAAAGGCACCTAATGCTTCACAGACGCATTACAGGGCTCTCAGCTGCAAGACTCGCTCCCTCCGAAGAGGCTGTATTCATCACAGACTACTTAAACAGCAAATTGAAAAAATACAACGATGCAACTGTCACACCATGCAAAGAGCATGCCCTGCTTTTTACTTCTGCTTCTGCAATGCTCCTGCATTTCAGCTTCAAAAAAAAGCACTCTCTCTGGTCCAAATAACTTCTCCTAAGTTTCATGTCTTACTGAGCTTCAAATCACTACGCTCTCAGAATGACAGGCAACAGAATTAAGAGGAGGGGTAGGAAAAAGAATAAATAAAACCCTGAAGTTTACCGAGCAGGTTTACACACTCAAGTTCGGAAAAGGATCATGTTTATGTTCCTTATTATGCATTAAATAAGACATCCCCCGATTCTCACAGACAAACAGATCTGGAAAGAAATTGCCAGCATTAACACTGACAGAACAACTGAGAGATGTGAAGTTAAAATACTTGCTATCAACTATGAAACTGAGCACAATTCCAATATTCCTTAGTGTGGTAAATAATTTGTTTCAATACATTCCATACAAATCCACTTCAGCTTAGGAATGTAAGTAGTTATCACCATACGAACCCCTGAAAACAGATGCTTCAGCATTTAAGACCAAAGATTCTCAGTTCATAAATTCTGCAGAAGTCAGTAACCATGAAATAACTTACTAATCAGCCCATAAAACTCCAGAAATAAAGACATTTAAGTTCTATTTCCAGTCCCCAAAGACTTAATACGAACAGCTACAGCCTAAATATTTAAACTCCTGCACCAGTAAAGTTATTTAGGTAGTTCTCATTTCCTAACAGCTCCCCATTCTGCCATTCCTTTGAAGGAGCAGGCAGGAGATCAGAGCCTGGAGCTGAGGTAGGCTTTTTGAAGTGTGTGCAGGGAGTAGTCAGGTGAACTGCAGGAAGCAGCTCCTCACAAAGTGTGTGCTGAGTAAGCGGGGTGCTGGGGGCAAACGCGAACATTTAGTCCTTCATGCTCAGCAGCTTCACACATAAAATGAAATGTTCGCCTGTGATGCAAAAGGACTTCAAGCACAAAGACGAGCTGTCACAAAAATGGATGCTGCCCTCTGCCCTCCAAATTTATGCTGCAGAGAGTGACTCTGGCCTCAACGAGTCTAACTTGGCATCTTCCCCACTGAGCCCACCAGGACCGAAGCAGTGCAGACCCCCCCAAGGCAGCTCCCCCTGAAGCCCACCCAACGGGAAGGCTCTGCCCTAGGCACGTACCACACGTGAAGGACAACAGGCAGGGCAGGCAGAGGCAAAAAATGAAAGAGGCAAGAGCCAAACAGAAGATCCACCTGAGAGAAACACTAGTAGAAAGTTGGTATTTTGTTAAGTCAGGATTCTGTTAAAGAATAAATGGAGATGCATGTCAGGATTAGTAT